TATCATCACTTCCGTAACCAAATTTAACACTATTGCTAGAAACATGATTCCCCTCACATTGACTGGATATTGCAGAACCCCAATTTATTCCACTATTTCCAAAGTAATTTCCTCCGAGACTCCCACTTCCAGATCCCATATATGCACCAGAACAAGAAACTTTTGTGTTATAATCGAGTCCACAGTTTCCCCATAGGTTTTGGGTAACTGAGCTGAAAAAAGAAGTATTACCTGCGCTACTTCCATTGTACCCAATAGGTCTACCAAATGTATTTGTATCACCAAGATAGTAAGGGTTCAATCCCCGTCCATAGCTCATACTACTACTAAAATTTGCAACATTGCCAAAAGTTTGATTTAACCTGGGTTCAATGTCCATGCCCATTCCATCACCAGAACCAAAAGGAGGAAACCCACCTCGGCCACTAGTAATCGGACTGAATCTCGCATCCATCCCAAGTCCATAGCCTTCAACATTGCTTGGACCATATCCCTGATTATAGCCATTAAGGAAGTTGTTGATCCTATTCACATCATAGTTATATCCACAAAGGTGGCTATGATTGGGACTGGGCAATAACTCTTTGGGAACTGCTCGTTTAACCTCAACCATTTTACCATTCAGTTCATGAAAATTCTTTAGCAACGCCTTGTCCACCGACTCTTCTGAATCATAAGTGATGAACCCGAAACCCCTAGGCCTTTGGGTGTTGTGATCATGTATCAGCACAACATCTGTGATATTCCCAAACTGATCAAAATACTTCTTAAAATCACTCTCTGTAACTGTAGATGCTAAACCTCCTACAAAAATCTTTCTCGTGCTGCCTGGACCAGGTGAACCATGGATGCTACTAGTGCTTCTACTCATAATGCTCTGATCATCCCTAGGAACTGCCTTTTTTGCCTCAACCTGAGCATAAGTAACACGGTGGTGAAAATAAAACTTAGACAACGCAAACTCTTTGAGCTCAATACAAGTAACAATACTAATCAAAGAGAATATCAATCATAACCAACATCATTGAAAAGAGAAAAGATAAATAAGAAGCATTATTACTCGAGGATCAACTTTAAAATTTAGTTGAACAAGGTCAGGATGATACAAATTCCCAAGGAATTTAAGTTTCACCTCTTGCTTCAATAACCTAATAGCATTGATGAATAGTAAATTGCACAACAATAAGCTAAAACAGTGTGCTTATAGATTAATAACTCACCATCCTGCCATCAATGTTGTGTTTCTCCTTGATGACTCTCTTGACAACAGCCGGGTCTGCAAAAACAACGAAACCAAAACCACGAGCACGCCTGGTCGTTCGATCCTTCATGATCACTGCCTCTATCACTTCACCAAAACTACTGAAATACTCCTTGAGACGCTCTTCATTTGTGTCCCAAGCTATCCCACCAATAAATAGCTTTCCATTCTCAAACATCTTTTTCTACATTAGTAACATAGAAAGTCAAATTCATTATTGGATTCAATGTAATACATAAAAAAAATTATTTTCAACAATAACAACGATAGACCGATCAAAAACCAATATCAAACCATTCCTTTTATGTAAATCAAGTTAATAATACCAAACCATTCCTATTATTGCAATCCAATCATAATAATGAAGATACAATTCAATACCTTTATTTTAACAAGAATAATCCGGTACAAAAAAGTTTTTTTCCCCCTCTGTGGTTCAAAATTCAGAAACAAACAGCTTTTTCCACGATCAATCAACCGAACAACCCAGAAATTAACTTCACCTGAACTCAGAAATGAAAAGGAAAAAAACCAAAAAAACAAAACCCAGATGGTTGATCAATCAATACAGCTGCAGAAGTTTTGGGAAATTCAAGCAACAGATAAAACAAAACAAATTAAAACAAAAACTCAAATCCAGATTCAGCAAAAAGAAAAAGACCCACCAATTAAAGGAAACCCCAAGTGCCAAATCTGACGAGGAAAACTAAAATCTGAGAGGAGGCACGGTAAGAATAATAACAGAGGTGGTTAATTTCATCCTCCTCTTCTACTTGCCTTCTCCCTTCAAATAAATATTTCCTTATAATGGTAGCCTTTTCTTTAAAATGATTTCAAACTTTCTTCTCTTTTATACCCAAAAATGCAAATTCAGTTACAAATATTTATACAAATTGGCAATGCGCAAGCTTTATTTAGGGAGGAAGATGAAGATACAGAGATGTTTTGGAAAATGTATATTTATATATAGAAAGGGAGACTAGAAAAAATGGAACACGACCCTCGTTTTCTTCCTTAATTTGTCTCAAAACGAAAAGGTTGCTTTTAAGACAATTTTTACGTAAAAATACGAACTATGTTTAAATATAAATTTATATTGTTGAACAAAATATCTTAAAATAATTATAACATTAAATATATTTTTCTTAAGGCTAAATTAAAAATTTGGTAACTGGACTTTTATATGATTCCTATTTTACTCACCATACTTTCAAAATTTTTAATTTACTCACTCAATTTTATAGATTGAGTTTTTTTTTCTCACTCTGCCGTTAAACTTCTCACGTCGTTATGACGTGGCTTAGAGAATTAATTTTTAATCATTAAAACCCACGATTGCTATGACGGGTCAGAAAAAAATAAAAGGTAAATAAAAAATTTGTTAACTGAACTTTCATATAATTCATATTTTACTCACTCAACTTTGCAGATTGATTTTTTGTCACTCTGCTGTTAAACTTTTCACCGCCACCGATTGTCCACTACGGCTCATCATTGATCTCCATCGTTGTTGGACGGTGACTGTCACCCCCAGTACCGAAGTGAGCGTCAAGCCATTATGACTAAAACCTTGGTGGTCGATCGTCAAGGCTCCTCATAGTTCGTCGTATAGAAATCGTCGAAGGTTTGTTGGCAAACCAAAGCTTCCCATCGATTTTCGTCAATTTCCGGCCACCCGGGCTATCCATTCGTCTCACCGCCGCCATTGCTGAAGTCCTCTCCTCTTTCCAACCAAAACCTAATTGATTTTCCCTCTCATCGTCGTTGCCTCCTTCGTCAGCCGTTGGGTAAGTAGTTCGAACCTGTTTTCCAGCCACCCGCGTCCTTTCGTCTCACCCCGGTTCACCCCAGCCAAAAAGTCAATCTATAAAGTTAAGTGAGCAAATTGAAAATTTTGAAAATATGGTGAGTAAAATAGGAATCATATGAAAGTTCAATAATCAAATTTGTAGTTTACCCTTATTATTATTATCACGTGAAAATTCGATGTGGCATGTTTAATATTAAAATATTCCACATCAACAAGTTGTTAGTGATATAACAGTGGAGTGACCAAAAAAGTCAATATATAAAGTTGAGTGAGCAAATTGAAAATTTTGAAAGTACATTGAGTAAAATAGGAATCGTATAAAAGTTCAGTTACCAAATTTGTAATTTACCCTTTTCTTAATTGATTGGAAGGTGAAAAGGCAGTTAAAATATATATTAAAAATAATTATAACTTTTCATAATTAACACCTTTATTTCTATACGTAAAAAAATATACTTTTAACTATTTATATTTTAATATAACATTAAATTTTATAATCTGAAATAGTAAATTAATTATAATTGTTTGACAGATTTAAATTAAAAATTAATCAATTAAAATTGGATCCACAATTTAGGCCATTCACATAAGATATTTCTTTAAATTACTTTTTTAACAAATTAAATTACTTTAAATTCTTGTTAAATATAATTTAATTTCTTATAATATAAAAATTAATGATAAAATTTAATCATTTCATTATGTATTTATTCTCGAGTACTATATATTCCACTTTACTTCAAAATGATTCCATTATCATAAACGTAAATTATAGCTAAATAATGTATCAGATGTGAGAATATCAGTAAATTTAATTCATATTTATTATAATTTAAATAATAATATATATTTTAATTATCAATCCGTTAATAATAATAATTCACATATATATGGGCAAATTACTTGAATGACCATCCAACTATAGATTAGTATCAAAATTACCATCATTTTAAATTTATATCAATACGAACACTGAACTATTTGATTGATATCATTTAAACCGTTTGGAATGGGAAAGCTTTTGGGCAAACACTGAACTATTTGAGTGATATCATTTAAACCATATGGAATGGGAAAACTTCGGGTAGTTATGTTGTACGACAGTCTTAATATACGGTTAAGGATAAACCCTACCAGAAATGTTAATATTTTTTTAACATTTCCGGTAAAGCGCTACCTAAAATATTATTTTTTTACCTAAAATGTTAATTTTGTTACCTAATTTCCTGTAGAAAAAAATAACATTTTAGGTAGCGCCCAATATTAATATTTCCGGTAGAAAAAAATAATGTTTTAGGTAGAGTTTTACCGGAAATGTTAAATATTTTAGGTAGTGCCCAATATTAACATTTCCTGTAGAAAAAATAATGTTTTAGATAGCGTTTTACCGAAAATGTTAAAAAAAATAGTAACATTTTCGATAGTGCATTTCTTTAATCGTATATTAAGACTACTGTACCTTATACACATCTCCATAATCTCAACAAATAAAAACTAGAAAGACCTATTTTTAGTACTCCAATCATAAGCAATTGCTTCTTGATCAAGTAATGAACTCATATAGGCAATTTTCATAAACTGCAGCAGGTATTATTGCAAAGACAAGATCAGTAAAAAACAAGAAAATCTGTAATGATATGTCTAAAGCCCTCATTTTTAACTCTTCCAAGAGTTTTTATTTATTTATTTGCTTTTATTTTGAAATTGACCCGAAGGGACACCCACATGGATTATAATCCCGGTTTCTTAAACATGCTCATCTTCCTTTTTTGCTTGAGCTAATACCCTAATGCTTCGCTTTTTAGCATTGTTGAGACGCAAGTTGCTTCCTACATTACGTGTTCCCCAGTTAACGCCCACATGGCTTGCACTATCCAGACACATGCATGCATGCAAATGGGATTTTTTTTCCCCCAGAAGTTATTTCCATGCAAAATAATAAAGGGAAAAATGTATAGCTAATCTAGGTAACTGTGCTTGCTGGGATCGAGTTCTGTAATCATGGCAGCTCCTTTGAAGTTGCAAGATCCGACCTTGTGCTTGAACTTTTGGAAGTAATCATTGAATGCATAGGAAGCATGGCTTCTAATGGTGTTGGGAAAGTAACAAGCCTGCTTCACCTGAATCTTACTGCAATCTGCACCGCCGCTCCCACAAGCCCAGTCCATGGCTGCCTTCAACTCATCGTCTGGGGTTTGCTCATCAGCTATGCACCACTGCTCAAACTCCTCGGCTGATCATATAACATACTATTAAACACCATATATATAGATCAAAGTTGAAAATCATGGCTATACCGGAGTCCGAAAAGGTAAAAAAAAAAAAGTCACAGGTTAGCAGAAATGAAACCTGATTTTGGAGGGATTATTGACATGAGTTGCAGAAGAAGCATTATCCTAATGGCCAAGAAGATTGAAAATTTTCCCTTTAGAGTCGGATACAGAGAACTTGGAAAAGAAAACGGTTGTACACGGACAAATCTCAAAACCCACAAGTAGTATCCCTTTCATATATAATACTGTAAAACCTAATGATAGCGTCAATGGTCATCTTAGGATGCTCTAAAATGATGGTAATAGGAGCCATGTGAAGTTAATGGACGTATGGGCTTTTTTTAACCTTTTGGTTTGACAACAGAAATGTTAAGCAGCGTTCAGTTGTGTCGATTAAAGTAGGATTTAAGAAATAGGTTTAATGTATGTATTTTTCTAAATAATATGGATCTTTGTGAAGACTAATGACAAATTACTAATATTGGCTTTTGCTTATACCAGTTACAACAGCTTCATACATCCTTACTATTGAAATTCTCTTTACAGGTAAAAGACGATACTCTAAAGAATTGCCCACCAACCTTAATATCTCAAAAACCCCTGGGGGGAAAATAATGTAACATATTCTCACCGCTCAATAGCTCAAATTCTTCAAAAACTTTAAAACAAAAAATGGTTGGGGAGAGGGGGGTCATTAGCTTTAAACTAAGAAAAGGGGAAATTGGTAATACCATATAGCAGGAGAAAGACCTGCAGATCCTTATATTTCACTAATATTTAATGGTCAATACCAGTTGCAAGCGAACTGGATCATTTATGCTCTCAACCCTAGCAAAACAGATGATACTATTGACGAGTTTTTCTCTTTCGGCCTCGAACGGATTTACACTTTTTCAATTCTGGCCAATGATGTATCTTCTTGGTGCTCCCTTCCATTCAAACCTATTGGAGTTCCCAAAAATACTCTTAAGACTGGATATTGAATGTATTGGTTGGTTGGTTTACAAAAAAAAAAGACATCTGTCACTGTTTCAGTAGTTACTGGGCCAGTTCATCTGTGCATGCTGAGGTTGCCGATAAACACCGGCAGCAGATCCCCCCATATTAACAGCTCCAGCCATAGTCTGAGCCTGTTGTAGAAGAGGATGAACAGCTGCAGCTGTTGCTGTTTGTGGATGATATATACCAGCAAATGAGCCAGGAACTTGTGTCGGAGGAAAAGTTACATTCTGACCTGGAGGGGCAAAATTATAGAATGAACTTGCTGGCAGGTTGGACATATCCCGCCCAGGGGGGGCAATCCATACCGCTGAACCTTCACTCTGCAAGAAAATAAAAATAGGTTAAACAATCATCTTAGAAGGGAAAGTTGTTTGGAGAGAAAAAAGGAACACAAGGTATTTTCAAGAATGTCGAAATCCCAATGACATTTTCTTTCTGAAACCTATGTTTATCCTGATCGGAGCAGATTATGCTTAAAGGAAAAAGCAACTGTCTCATGTAGAACCATAATAGACAAACAAATCAAGTGATGAGAACATGATCAGAGCATTGATAGGCAATTAATTAACATGAACTTCATGCATCAATGTCCTTGGTCCAAAAAAGGATAGAGAATTATCTTGATTATGAAGCAGAAATTAAGGACCAACTACACCACAGAGACCCCCTATACCGGAACAAACAGAAAAAGAAGTCCACTGACATTTACAAACTTCTCAAAACTGCAATATTAGGAGATGGAAAAATAGAAAAAAAATCACTCAGTGAGGAGCCCAATTCAAACACAAACAACATTTCCCACTATCAATGAACTAATGGCCCCTAAATTTTCCTAAAAGTAAAAGACAGGTATTAGTTTGTTTATCCTCCGTCTGCCGTTACAAACACTTTTACAGAGTGCACTAGTTTGTTGTAAATACAAGCTAAGATCAAAACTACTACTTTTACATTATCGTCTTATTTTCTGCACTTAGCCCGCTCTTACATTCTTGTCTTATTTTGCAAATTTAGTTCATATTATATGGCTGGTTCGCTAGTATCTACTATAATATAAAGATTGTGTTATACGATACATGTTATCATTACTGGGAAAAGAAAACTAGAAAAAATTGGGACATGAACCTACAAAATAATTGTTTCAAACATTCTCATATGTCACAAATAAATCACAGCAAGATACAAAAATGAGAATTCGGTGTCAACCTGCTGCCCACCGGCGTACACATTGTTTTCCTTGAACTGAGCACCACCAAGATCTTCATTTGTTGTTGAGTTTCCAATCGTCGCAGCAGAACTTGGATTATAACCGGCTGGGGAGGAGCCATATGGTCCATAACCACTTGGCATTCCAATGTGAGCAGAATTTGGTGTATTACTTCCGGGCTTCAATTGAGGAAGTGAAAATTTGACTCCTGTAGTTGGTGCTGCTGGTGCAGTAGGATAAACAGTACCAGTCTGCGGTTGTTGAGGAAGCACCCCGTTGTTTATAAATTGGTGGATCGCAGGAGAAGGAACATAAAAAGGAGAGTAAAAGGGGGCATATTGAATGTAGTTTGGAGGATAATGTGGTAAATGCACCCCAGCTGCTGATCGGTAGACAGGGACTGGTTGCTGAGTCACAGCTATAGAACTTTGCATCATCCCAGCAGCTTGAGTCACTATCGGAGATGAACTTCCTGTAGTCAGTACCAAAGAGTTTCCACCCTGCCAAGAGATGAAAATCAGCTCCAATAACCAACAGTTATTAAGTTTGAAAGAAACACTCTCACTACCCTAAAGTTTGATAAAGAAAAACACTAACCCCCCAGAGATATAATATACCAAGTCAATTTCCCCAAAATTATTTGCCTAGAGTAATCCTCTCCACTAACCATGTGAGGTTCAAAAAGTATCCCAGGACCAAATTGCAAGCAAGCAAAAGTTTAAAGCAAAGAAAACGTGTTGTCAACGATGTTACCAGAACACTGCCAACAACTCTTCAGTGTATGGCATAATATAACTTGCAAGCCTAAAACCAAGTAAATTAGAGAACAAAAAGCAATATTCTCATTTAACCAATAACAGATACATAACATATTCAACAAGTAGAAATGCAAGGTGCTTCATCATAATCTCTGCAAACCTCTTGAGGAGACTGAGAAGTCTGTGGAGGAAGAACTGCAACATTCCCATTGTACTTTGTAGCAACTCCAGAGGCAAAAGGAGAAGCACGACCATCGGTATCAGCACTTGAACGGTAGAATTGGGTGTAATAAGCTGCCGGGTCAAATGGCTGAGGAACCTGATGAATGATGATTGAAGCATTAAATAATGGAAGTAGTATTAGAGCCAACAATTGGCATAGTGCAATTGATTTTATTTAAACAATATTTCAGATTATTGTAACCAGTGGAATGACCAAAACCAAATGCAAAATATAAAAACATAAAAGTTCAAAATTCGATTCATTTATTTTATTATCTACATAAATGCTGTGCTAAAAATTTTAATTTTGAAAAAGTTTAGAAACCAAAAGAGCGATAAATAGTAATGAAAAGAACGGTGGAAGTGGATGCTCACAACAAAGCTTGAAAGGCGAGAAACTTCACGTGCTTGAGATTCAGCATTTCCGAATGGTGCTAACATAGGAGGCACAATTCCAAAACTATAGTTGGGAGATGTTACTGCAGAGTATTGATGGCTTCCAGAGAGGAATGCGTTCTCCAGCTTGTCATTATTCTCTGGAATGGAACTAGCAATATCACCATCACCAGACAAATTTCCAGGTGCATGTGTAGGTGATTGAGGACGATCAGTGCAATCTTCTTCCTCTGCAGTATCCAATGCATTTTGATTGCTGGAGTCAACAATATAACAAGAAAATAACATGAGCCAAGTATGCAAAAGAGACCAAATAGCATCAAGATTATGATATCTAAAAAGGGTAGAGTTTCTTATTCTGGAGAAAAAAGAGGCCAACATTGCTAATAAAAAAGAATTAAAAGGTTACATCCATTGGAAACTCTTAACAAACCTTGAACCATGTTCCTCTGCAGTCTCATTTACATCTTGAGAAGCCTCAGACAAAGGTGTAGAACACTTATAACTCTCCTGACCACCGACATAGTTCAATGCTACTCCAAAACTAGCATCAAAACTTCCAAAACTCAGCTTGGTTCTTTCAGATTCCGGAACATGAATATGGTTGGGAATTATTACATGTTGACGTTGTGGGAAATGTAATTCCTCTAACTTTTTCTGCAATTTTGAAGTGTCTACTTCTGAGTTGAGAACATTTGAAACGGGCGACGACTGAGGATCAGTTTCAAGTGAACCGCTAGGAACTTCAGATGCACCTGCCGTTCCAGCACCTAGCCCAACATTAGAGATTACTGGCTTTGGTTTCCACTCCTTGTTGGAACCAACTGTTGATGACACAGAGGGAATTATTAATACTTATCTTTAGCAAGCCTTTCAACCATCTTAAGATAAAACATAAAGTGGTTCATTGATTTGTCAGTATCAGCTTAAATAGGTTCCAAGACCACACATTTTTATTGAAGATTGTTCAACCATTGGTAAAAATATAAAAATAAAAAACCAAGCAAACTTGAGTTAAAGATACAATATATTAGCCATTTTATCCCTTCTAACAGTTAAACTGTCATTTAAGGTTCTACTTTTGTTGGCAAAGGAACCATCACCTATCCTATCAAGTTACAATGATGCTTTTCACCCAAAATTTACAATTAACCTATTACGGAATTTAGTATTGCTCAAGGTTAAAAACAAAAAGGTTAATGATGCCCATTTAACAAAGATGGTTATATATTCCAATTATGATAAGGGGCAAACTAATGAGTCTGAACATTTTTCAAGCAAACATGTAATCAAGAAAATTTCCCTACAGTAATAAAGCTACATAAATGCCATCTCCAAAAACCAATATATCTTGATACCAAAGCTAGATCCAGAAAATATAAGCATCTACATAGGATCCAGTTAAAACACATTAGTACATCAATAGCTTCTCTCTCTTTTTGTCTGTGTATAAGGAGCGAAGGATTATAGCACAAAATCAACAATATTTGTCCAGCTCTTGCAACAAGTTACATAAAATCAAACAAAAACACATCACAAGCTGTGTCAACTACAAACAAATACATAACAAAGTTATAAAACAGCAATACAATATCCCAATTACCTTTCTGAGGGCCAATTATTTGTTGTGAGCGACCATTATAATTGGATGAAGGCCTAGCTGCAGAGGAACCATGGGTTGCTGTAGATGAAGGATGAAAAGACTCAACCAGTGGATGTTTTACAACTGCAGGGGATTTGCTAGGCATCTTTCCTTGCAGGAAGCTACTAAGCTCAGTAGCAGCTATAAGTCAAAGAAAGAAATTAATCAGATTCGTAACTAAACAGAATAAAAGTTGTTCAAAACAGATAGGGTTTCAAAGTCCTGACCAGATGCTAATTTGCTTTCAGTAGGAATAACTACATTTCGTACTGTAGAAGCTCGGTTGTTTCCTATTTCGTGTTTGATTGTGTCCAAAGAGCCAAAGAGACGAGAAACATTAGATGGAACTGATGCAGGTTCTGATGATGAGATGGGTGCTAATTTTTTTTCAGTAGGAATAACTGCGTTTGGTTCTGTAGAAGCTTGGTTGCTTTCACCTTTGATGGTGTCTGAAGTGCCAGGGAGCTGAGGAACATTGGATGGAACTAGTTCAGGTTCTGAAGACGAGAAGCAGATTGCTGATGAAGATGCTGGAGTAGTAGACATGAAGCAGTCACTTGAGCCTTCTGCTGGCTGCCTACTCATGTCCCCACTTCCGAATGCAACATTGGGCTTGTTTATTGCATCAACAGGGGATGGTGCACTCCCGTACCCACTGTTACCAACAGACGAATTTTCTTGAGGTGGATTGGCAGCTTTTCTTGCAGGCGCAGAAAAGGTTTCAGCCACAACACCAGTAGGGCCATTGGCCATTGCAGATACAGCACTATAAAACATAAAATTGTAATTCAACCAAACTGCACTGAAGTGAAGCCATATTTTCAGCAATAGACAAAAAGAAATTAAAATTATAAGATAGCAAATATGCAAATTGCAGCCACCATGCAATGTGAGTAGATTCCTTAGGTTTCGTCTCCTGCAAGGTTGACAAGGATTGACCACTGCCTTTCTCTGCAACTTGATTCGTTCCATTGTCCCACCCAAGACCAGAACTTTTAGACACACCGGCCTCTGATGAGATAAACAGACGAGTACGAAAATTACAATAAGCACAATTGCTAACAACTTTTTTTATTAAAATATAGGAGAAGATTTATGACATTAAAATAAGCACAGATTCATGACCATTTAATATATCAAACTGAAAGAATTGCAAAGTATAATCACAATAGCACATCAACAACCACCATAGCAGCATCACAGGTTAGTATCCGAAACCACGTCTGGAACAACTCAAAAAATGAAAGGGTGTGGGTAAAGAGAAACACGTTCAAAACAACACTTAACTTGTACATTGATCTAGCAGTAAATTAGTCACATGGGTGAAACAAACGCAAATTTCTGAGGCACAGTCAACTAATAATTCAGAAGCCTGACAGTAGTAACTAAACAATCATCACAAACAAATTTGGGTTCTGAAATTTCTGTTTACCAGCTGCGTAACGAGGAGGAAAATTCCATCGGCCACCCCTAGTCCCCCTTCCCTGTGAACCAGGTCGCCACCGAGACTCTGCAGACTCTTTGTTGTTCAAACTCTGCAATAGCAAGTGACAATAGCACATTAACCACAAGGAATAATGAATCTCCCTAGTACCTTTTGTACTCTCGCTTCAAACTTCCGTCCTGCTGTTGTCAACCAACCCATACACCTCTAACACTTCATACCCCAATTTCTCCTGCCTACAGAGTGAACTTAAAAGGAAATGTAATTGACTATTGGTAAAACAAAAATGGGACTTAGTTATCTATGCCTTCTGCCTCTAACACTAAGAAAATTTATGCTTTGCTTACTCATCATATAATACCATTGCAACTCTTCTAAGCCAATATCAATAATAAGTAACATAGCAAAAACAGAAAAATGTTGAACTTATAGAAACCCAGAAAATAGTAAACACTTCAAATTTTGCTGTAGAATCACTTACCTCTTTTTTCCTGTCACGCTTTCTTTTGACTTCCCGAAAAGGATCTGGGGAACAATATACAAGTTTGTCATGTATTTGGAAGCAAAACAAAATGATAGTAAAATGGTTAGAAAGAATGCACCAAGTAATTGTAATATATGAGAAACAAGTAATAAAATATAAACAAGAAAGTACCATATGCTAATAACTACATATATATTTCTTACAGCTTTGCTAAAGACCAAGTCATAGCTCGTATGAACTAAGGAAACATTAAGCTAGCATGAAAAAGGCCATAATATGATATTGATGCTCAACTTGATATAAAACTGAAGTAACGACCAACATCTAAATATCAGAAAGCATAGAATAAGAACAAACAATAACACAACATACAAGAAAAACCTAAACCACTAATACTTCTAAGGGTTAATAAGCCACAGTTTGAGCAGATACATATCACAACATTAAACTTCCTAAAAACACTTAATGTGGTATTTAATACTGACTAAAAGCTTCACATAACAGGAATACAATCTTACAATTCATTATAAAGACAATTAGTATTATGATAGTAAATGCCACATGTAGTAGCTATGTGCCTAAAAATAAAATATTCAAAGGAAAAAAGGAAAATGAGGATATTGAAAGCGAAAACCTTTTATTCCAATCCAATAACAGAAAAGGATGGATTTTTGAAAATGCAACAGAGTCAAAATGTCTGAATTCATGAAATGAAGGGTGATTTTTTTTTAAAAAAAATAGCTTCGAGGGTCAATTTTGCAGAAAATACGATAAATTTAAAACGCAATTTAATCAAAGACACTATTTCTAGAGCTAAGTTAAAAAATTGGATGGCAAACAATTCTGTAATTTGCAAAGGGAAATTAAAAAAAAAAGCTTGACATTTATAAATGAATGAATCAAAAAAGAGAGAAAAGATTAATAAATATCAAATCAAGATTTAATATAACCCAATTAGCAGTGCAACTCATCAGAACCAAAATATCATACTACAGTCCCAAGCAATATCACCCAAATGAAATTAAGATCAGACAGCGGCAAAAACCATAGATCAAAATAAAACAACAAAAACCCAAAAATTTTAACCAAAAAAATAACCATCCCCTGTCCGAGGAAGAAAAAACTACCCCATTGAAAATATCCAAAAAAGAAAACGAAAACTTAGCTAAAATGAAACTTCAAAGGAGATGAGAAAGAGAGAGAAAAAAAAGGAAAACGTACCCTGAAGGAGGAGCCTCTGAGCGGTTTCATTGGGATCCATAGAACATTCTTTAAGCATTGCATAAATCTCATCTTCACTATGATTACCCGTGATCTCTTTTATGTTTTGGATCGTTTTCCTCACACTGTTGGGGATTGATGAAACCCTAAACCCCCCACCGCTCATCTTCTCAGACAAATCCGTTTCCCCCCTTTTTTCCCCCCCACTTTCTGCTTAAACAAAGCGCTCTCTCCTTCCCAATTAATTGTATACACTATATTTTTTCCTATATGATTAGTATATAAAATAATAATAATAGTATTTATTTAGTGCTATTTTTAGTGTTAAAAATGAGGAGAGAAATGGAGTGTATAGCTTTAAAAATAATGTTGTTTTTTAATTGATTAAAGCAAGAGGAAGAAGAAAATGTTAACGAGCAGCAACGTCCATACGTGGAGTGTATAAGCTTTTCATTTTAATGTTCGTGTATGGCCAGTGTGCCTCTTTCTAATCATTTTCTTTAGGGTTTTTATATAATTATCGGTATTTAATATTTTAATTAATAAAATATAATTAAATATCATAAAAATATAATTATTTTTAATTTATATTTATATTTATATTTACGAATATTAAAATTTGAATCCTAATATTATTTACAAAATTTAGTATTTTATCTATGGACGGAGCCACATGGTCAATGGGCGTTAACAAACATCCTAATTTTTTAAACAATATATTTTTATAATTTTATATAAAACTATTAAAAATATAATTAATATCATTTTAATAAATTACTGATACGAAAGTCCAAACCAATTAAAAAATAATTGACATCCCTAAACAAGATAACATTATATTTATCTCACCACCATAAAATAACATTTTATATAATTTTTAAATTATAACATCATAATTTAATTCTTTAAATTCTACTATTAATCTTATCCGCTTTCAGCAGATTAATTCTTAAGAGTATTTTTATAATTTTTATCTTACTTTTTATATTTTTATTTCGTACTTACTGGAATTATTTAATTGTTCGTATATAAATAAGGTGAATTACTGAATTATGCCAATTGCAAATCATTATCAAAAAAGAAAAAGAAAAAAGAAATCATTATCAAATTTCAGTGATTTAACTAAATGTGGCATAAACCCCAATTGATTGTGTCAAATCACTTGTAGATAAATATATGAGGTAAATGAGATGAGATAGATCGTGAATTACTCGAGATTGGTTAGGTCAACGCTCAATAAATACTAGACTCGAATTTTTAACAAGTCAAAATAAACTACTTGATACTAGACTTTAAAAACTCGTGAACAACTTGAAAAAATATATATTAAAATTTTATTTTCTAAAAAAATACATTATTAATAATATTATCATTTATGTATTTATTTTTAAAAAATGTGTAGTATAAGGTTTTCATGTATTTAAGGTTCGAGTTTGAGTTTTAACTGAGTTAAGTTCAAGATTTATTTTTATTTTTATTTTGAGCATTGGTGAGTTTTTCGAGCTTTAATTCATGATTTCGAGTTGAATTTGAAAATTTTAGACTCAAAAATTTTCAAATCGAACCGAACTATGTTTCAAAGTTTTAAAAATAAGGTGAGCTTAACGATACTCAAACTCAACTTGAATCGTTAACAGCCAAACAGAAAGGATATATGATCTTTGAATTTGAACGAGTAGAAATTCACTGTAATTTATTCTAAACAGTTTTCCATTTCTCTTTCATATGTTTTTTTATTGGGTAAATTATATTATTTATTGCTGAACTATTTAGTCCTTTTATTTTTTATCGTTCATCTTTTAATTTTGTCAATCAAATAATCTAATTATTTAATTATAATCAATCAAATCATTGATCGTTAATATTTAAACCATTGATCGTTAATATTTAACGAAGATGCTAACGTGGTAGTTAATAAAATTGACATAATTATACATTTAATCTTCATTATTTACATATTCTATCAATCTAATCTTAATTTGAATTTAATTCTAAAAATTAATCTTCAAATCGAGAGGTGACACATGTTAGAGTAATATTACTACACATTTCATTCGTAACATGTGTCACCAACTAATCGGAAAACTTTTTAAATTAATTTTAATATTTTAATTCATTAAAGTTTTTCGGTAGTAACATTTGTCACCACATGTTCAAAGTGAAAACAAAGTAGAAATGAATTCGTGCTAGGAGAGTTAGAATGTGGGACACTAAAGGAAAAATGATCACGCCTCAACCACTGGACAAACACCACAATTGTCATCAATCTTAACTAAGAAAGGCTGGTTGAAATCTTCATTTGAATAAGTTGGTTAGAATTAGAATTTAGTCACTTCGTTTGCTACTGTGAAGCTATATATAATATTTGTGTGGAATCATTTGTTTGGCCTAATTGTTGGAGAGTGTTCTGTGTTGCTGCAGTGGTTCTGTTTTTACAAATTTCAGCTGGTTTGCGTTTGAAGATGACAGAGTTTTCGATGAACATTCAACTGGTGATTTGCCTTCTGCATCATCTAATATCGAGGAAGTTGGTGTCATCAATGGTGATGGTGAAGATGATAAGAAGCTTGTTAGCAAAGATGATGACTCAGATGATACGACAACATTTTCTCAGATAGCCGATGCCAAATTAAAAGTTTACTAATCTGACTGACAACTCTAGGGAAGTTGAACCCAAAGCAAATGATGAACCACCTCTCTGGGTTGAATAGAGAGAACCTCAAATGGAATTGGAGCATCTGTTTCTGATGAATCTGCTGCTGTTCGAAATGGTTCCTACTTAGGAACTGTTGTTGGTTGGAGTCGACGATTCTTTTTTATCCCCTACACATGCAAAGTTTATGTATTTTGGTCGATTCAAGAGAGGTAAATGCAATATTGAATCTGTTGTAAGATTGATAATAATTGTGGGGTTTGCCCCCATGGTCGAAACGTGCCCATTTTTCTCTTTGGTCCTAGGTTTGAACTACGTCAACACCTATTCATTTCTACCTTGTTTTCACTTTGAACAGACGTGGTTGGTGAAAACTTTATTTAATTAAAATTAATTAAAAAAGCTCTCCAATTCACCAATAAAATGTGTCATAATATTACGTCGACACGTTTTATCTCATGATTGGATGATTAATTTTTTGAATTAAATTCAAATTACGATTAATTTGATAGGATATGTAAGTAATGAGAATTAAATATAGAATTATGTCAATTTTATTAACTGTCATGTTAGTATCTCCGTTAAATATTAATGGTCATTAGCTTGGTTGACAATAATTAAATATTTAGGTGGTCTGATTGACAAAATTGAAAGATCGGTAATAAAAAATAAAAAGGCTAAATAATTGAGTGGTCAATGGTATAATTTACCCTATTTTCTTCCTTAGATCCTTTATTGAATTATACATTGAAGAGAATATTAAAGTATAAATTTATGCACCTCCAAGACTAACATTCATCTTATTGAAATTAGAAGCATTTATGTCCATTGCACCTTCAAAGAACAGCTGCAAGTCCAATTCATAAAAACAGTACTTTTCGGAAAAGAAATACAAATAGTGATATTTTATTAAATAGATTTTTATTTAAAAATATAACTTATTTTCTAAAATATTATATATATAACAGTATTTTTATTTAATTTATACATTGAATTGGTATAATTAAGATGAAAATTTTTCTGCTGCAAAATTTGGTGACGGAGGTTGACGATAGTTTATATAGTGATGCCAAGCGTAATTAATTTTAAGAAAAAAAAAATAAAAGATTAGAAGGTTTAGTAAAATAATGGGTCTTTGAAAATATTTTAACGTAATTGTCATTACAAGAAATTGTATTTTCAGTGATATAAAGAATGTTCAGTATAAATATCAAATATAGTCATTGAATATCGTGGTGACAAAATTTTTGAGTCATTACTAATAATTTCATCACTATTTATATTAGTGACGGTTTTATTGGATTTTTCATAATTACTTATGTTTTTTGTGACAATATTTTTTACACCAAAAGATTAATAACAATGACAAAATATTTAGACACTAATATTATCCTTATTAGTGACAAATATTTTATCACAACTGCATAATTAAATTGATTAATTAAAATATTCATTATTAAATCAATTATAATATGTTATCGTAAATAACAATCTTAAGACATTTTATTTTCTTAATTTTATGAGATGATATAGAATTTGTTTGAGTTTAATCTATGATCAAGCCAATGATAGTGACGAACGAACAGAGCTAGGATTCAATACGAGTCGGTTCAATGAATTTTACAATATTTCATGTTGATGCATATTGAATGTATTTTCGAATACAATATATAAGGTGTACAAATCCATAAAAGAATTATGGACAACATTGGACCATAAATACGAAACATAAGATGTTGATACAAAGGAAATTTTTAGTGGTCAAGTTCTTAAAATTCGTAATAATAAATACTTTATTATCTTCATCGATGATACCAAAATATTGCTATGTGTATTTCCTAAAAGAGTAAAAACGAAGTTATAGAGAAATTTTTTTTCTTATAACTATAGAGTTGAAAACCAACTTAATAAATAAATTAAGATGATAAGAAGTGTTAATGTTAAATCATTGTGCACGATATTATTCATGAAGTGACATCACTATACTCTCTTAAAATAAATGAAGTAGCAAGGCGGAAGAATTAAACAACGAATGCAACGCAAATAAATTCCGAGTTGTCACAAAACATGTTAAATTTTTAAGCCAGCGTTTATATATTAACCTGATTTTATACATGAACCAATTAGTAAGTATAATAGAACTTAATGAGTTAATTTTAGGTTTAATTTGATGAGAGCTGGACTTAAACTAAGTAAAAATGAGATTTTTATATTTAATTAGATTAGAGCATTTTAGAAAAACAAAGTTGCACCATGTTAAATTAAGCTTGTCTCTGAGTGTGTTTATGAGAGACATAAGTTGAGCAAATGAGTTCACTTCCTTCATTTGTCTTTTCTTGTTTTTTCCATTCTCATTCCTCTTCTTTTTCTTTATTATCTTTAAAACTAAAAACTTTAGAAAAATTGCAAGGTAACCAATTATATTTAGAGAATATTTTTTTTGTTAAACTATAAAGTATTACACATTCAAAATTAAAGTATTTTTTTATTTTTATCAGTAAGATACTTTACTAGTCAATGTATTACAATTTGAGCTTTGGGGTGACTCATAAAAATGATAATTTGAATGATGATTTAAAGTTTTTTATAAATTATAATTATGTCAAAATGTGTTCATATATTAATAAATGGGGTTTAAAATAGACATTTAGGGTGCGTTTGGTTCACGGAATGTAAGATTACCAGTGAGAAT